TCGCGAAATCATCATATTAGGCATGTTCTATGGTGATTGAAGAGTGAAGAAGTGGCTGGAGTGTAAGTTGTTTAAGTAAACTGAAGAATTTTAAGAGATTTTTAGAACTTACTCAACGGATATGAAAATGAATGTCTTACGATTCTGAATTTCATAAGTGAGAAGTCATTTGGTACAGAAAAGCATGTTTGTCGAGCCTGAAATTCATGATATTCATGACTAAAGGAGATTATAATCTTAGAATTTTTACTTACTAGATAAATGATTAATTTCGATGTCATTGACTCATTAAATAAGCCATTCCACCTCTTAATCACCAATAAAAACTAGACTCATTTTCATAACTAGAATGACAAAAAGTTGATATTTCTAGAATTGTCGTCCACTCCACATCTCGCATCATTATCCGTCCGCATTTGCAATGTTAAATGCCAATTAAAATTTCAAATAAAAAATAATGAATATGTCGAAGTAAAAACTTGTAATTTAGCATTGCTCTCGTTTTGCGGAAGCATAACAGAAGTCACACAGCCTGAAAATGTAAAAATGCTGTATCGATAAATGTCATTAATGTTTACAATAACTGGAATAGAGGTGTAAATTGACTTAATTTCTTATACTTATACCTGCAGTGTGATTATCTTGTTATGCATATGTTTCCATTGATGCGAAAACTCCATCGATGAGAAATATTTCAATTTCAATATTTTTGCTTTCGCTTTTTTTGGTGAAGTAAGGCAATGGATATTTGCAAACAGTAAAATATCTTATGAAACTATTGTTGAAGAACTGTTCGACATTGGAAGCTATTTTGGGGGTTACGTAAAGCATATAAAGCTTGTTTTGTGTAGCTACATAAAAACATGATGTGATATGAATTGCACATTTTTTATGACAGCAAACCAAATGAATCATAATTTTGGTTCTTATGGATTTTGTTTAACAAGGGAAAATTGTGAAATACTTCATTGACTTCATTGAGACATCAAATTACTGTTTTCTAACCAACACGTAACAGATCCACATTACTTAATTGATAGAGCAAACAATACAAGCTGTAGGCACAAACAATAGTAAGAATTTGATAAGCTTTAAGGCAATGGACTATAATTATTTTCTCCAAAGGTCGGTTTAAAGGGCTAAATACTGAGCTTTTCGAGACAAAGATAAACTTTATTCATAGTTCATAGTGCAATTCATTGATTTTTGATTCAAACATAAAGTGCCCCTGTTAGCCATAGAAACTTTGTATCCAGACCAAAGATATTTCTTTAAAACTCTTAGATCACTCGTCTAAAGCTTCTTTAGTCCAATTTAAATCTAGCTTACGCTTTCCAAAATTGTTTGAATCTACAAAATCCCATTTAGTTTCATTTTCAATAGAAATTTCATTACCAGCACCTGAGTAGAGCTGAGTAGTCTATAAACTACTATAAATGTCAATCAATCAATTTTTTTTACAATCGCAATTACAATTTTTAGAAATTGAAAATATCAAATATCAATAAAAATCCACAAACAAACATGAAAAAAGAAGTGAACGATTTATTGGATTTTATTTTTCGGTAAAGCATTTTTGCCTCAATTTTATCTTTAATTTCCTTTCCTTTTTGGTTTTGATTATTCTATGGAAAATATATGTTTGATAATTTGATTTTTTTTTCTATTTCCTATTCTATTCAATATGATTCATTGAATTCGCATATAACAGTCAAAGACGGTATTATATATTCATAACAATACGTCAATTAACAACAATAATATAAGCTTGAAATAAGAATTATAATCGAATAAAATATTGAGAAAGTTGTTGTACACATGAGCGATTTTGAGCGCATTTTTCTCTGTTAGAAGAATTAATTCATAAGCAATAGTGCAGCAGCAAACACGCAGTTGAACAAATGTTAGGCTAAAGCTTTGTGAGACTCAAATTAGTAAACCTTGAAAGATATAATTTTATTCTCACTTGCATTCCAACAGACAAACTGCAACTCTTAACTTAATATCCATAAACAAAACTTTGTTAAAAACTCATAGACATATCAAAATATCCAACAATAGTCAAATAACATTAAACATTCTCATAAAATTGCAAAAAAATGTGTGCGACATTTAACAAAATAGACAGCATGCAGTTACGATTAAAAATATTTAATTTCAATTAACATTGAAAATGCGAGTAGACTATAAAAGAAAGAAAGTGAATGAGCGAACAAGACAGAGAGAAAAAAGATTGTTTAAAATGCGTATGACAGCGCAAGAAATTGTCTCAACTCCCTAAGAATATTGACACGCTTGGATGTTGATATATTCATATGAAATTCCTTCAAATGAGATTGAAATTCTATGCGGTTAAGAAAAAAAGCAGCTTTTCCTTTTCATTATTCTTTTATTTCTCTTCTAAATCGCCCGATATCGCTCGTCGTTGTCTCAAATTGAGTACCTTTGATTCTCTCAATAGAAAAGAAGAAATGAAAAAAAAAAAACTCGACCGACAACAACAAAGTCATGCCTGTGCACAGGGTTGATATCTGTGGTATGACAAATTTGACTCGCGGGGTCACAGACTTATAGAATTTTACCCAAAATATACGATTTCGTGTCTCTACTACAACCTTAGCTAAATGTTGTTCTGTGTAAGATGCTCAAAATATTAAAGTCAAGTTCACTAAGTTTGAATCTATGATTATGTTTGAAACTAGCGAGTATCAGTGATAAATTTATCATGATACCCAGCCAAAGACATCCAACTGTCAACCCTGCCTGCCACAATAACTGGAATATAGTATAGAAAAAAAAATATCAACTTCATGCCACAGCAATAATTCTCTACTGATATTAAGTTAGTGAAAAAAAAACTTAGTTTTGTTTGAAGTCTCATAAGGAAAACATCGCGATGGTTTAAGCGTGAAACACTTGAGAAAATAAACTTAATTTCCCCATTGCCATTTCTGATAAGAAAGCTAAATAATTAAACTTGAAAATCAATAACTATGAGCTATTTTTATAGTAAAAAAAATAAGTGCGAAATAGGTTTAATTTTGGATTATTAAGAGAGTGTAAAAAACCGCGAATTTTAAAACAATACATTCAAGCAAGAATGGACCAAATGAGAGTGAGAATCAAGATCATCGAGACAATCATATGAACCAGTTTGTGACGTCATTTTTCATCATATCAATGAAAAAAATTCCTTCTCACAAAATAAGCAATTCTCCTGTTTGATTATACTCATTTTTTTGACTTATTACGAACATTCGACATTCCTGCTTTTGTTGATTATTTTATATTATTCATCCATTCTTTCAATTTACGACACAACTGGTCGAATGAGAACAAAAAAATCTTCATGGAATTTCTCGTATATATTTGACTCTTTTAATGCCCAAAGGTGATCTCATCTCAGATTCTGTCATAAAAAAGTGTATAAAGTTTCTCAGTGTAATACTAAATTGTAAAAAAATTAACATCATCGCCAATCTTTCCATATTATTTCTATATAAAATATTATATATAGTGTATACTTACATATTCTTAAATCGCGTGTGCTTTAGAAAAAAAAAAGTTGTGGCTTTTGTGGCAATGGCATTATAGTTGCGGCAGCTTGTGAATGAAAACATAGTAAAAACTTACCGTTGCAAAGAAGAAAAAAAAAATGAAAAGTTATTAAGGAAAATTTTTCAAAAATTAATTAGAGAAAATTTTTTTGCATTCACTTGTATTAAGTGTCTTAAAAGTGCAGTGTGTTAAACTTCATAGTAGTAACAAGCGAACATCGTATTAATTAAGAGTCTGAATCAGCTAACACAACTAGTGTGAAGATCATTAAATTGAGTTTTATGTATATTAGATTAGAGTGTGTGCCAATCGGTCAGCAATAAGCTTGTTTTTATTGAGATTCTCGGAATGAAGGAGAGTTTGTGATTTTAATGGTTTTTATGGCCGTGACTTTGAAGATGATGTGAACAAATAGTGACGAGTTTGTTGTTTGGTTGAAAATTCTCTAATTTGAAAATTTCTGTGGCAGAAAAATTCAATTAAATTTTGAAAAACTTGCTAATCTAGTACATTAACTGAGGTTTTGAAAAATTGGGTACAACAAAACTTTAAAAATCTAGTACTTTGAAGAGTTGTTTTAAAATCTAGTACTTTGAAGAGTTGTTTTCAAAATCTAGTACTTTGAAGATTTGCTTTCAAAATCTAGTATTTTGAAGATTTGTTTTTAAAATCTAGTACTTTAAAGAGTTGTTTTAAAAATCTAGGACAACAAGAAATTTAATCTGGACTGTTAAAAAACTGAACATTTACTTTTAAACTCTAGTACTTTTGAAGTACTGTGACTCACTAATCTAGTCCATTCAATAATTCACAATTAGTCAAAATAATCTAGTACTTCAAAGCTCAAATCACCTGATTCAAAACTCTTAATTAATAATCTTGTGATCTCACAGAAACTGACCCTATCAACCCACTGAGAACATACTGAATGTCAATATTAACATAAATTTAAAGTAAATAGAAGACTGAGTGATTAAAGTCAATAAGATCATCATCATCATTTTTTTTAAACTTAATAATGAGTCACATATTAAAACGACATCCATAAATGAGCAAACAAACCAGAAATATGGAAATTTTTTAAATGCGCCACACTGAGCTCAATAAAAGAAATTTTTTTGTGCAAAAATAATAATTTTTTTTTTGAGAGAGTCTCGACATCCACAACGACAACTACGGAAAGAATTTTCCTTCTTATCTTATCAATAAGCGCAGAAAAAAGCAGCTACACTCATTTACCGTGTATATATAATAATAAATGAAAAAGAAAAAATAGTTATGAAAGAATATTATTTGTGATAGGTGATTCTCTCACGACCAAAACGTTTTTCAACAGAAATAAGAAATATTTTTTGGGCGTTAGTACAGTTAGCGAGCACAATACAATACAATAACATTCATAATAAATACCACTATATAAAAATCAAAATTCACTAGCAATAATGGATGAAATCAATTTTAATCCATTGCGAATTATCGAGGATGAAATACCATCAAATAGTGATAAGAGCACTGATAATGATTCGAATGGAGAAATATTTGACTTTAGTGCCAGTGACATTGAAGAGTTGGAAGGTTATGGAAGTAGTAAAACAGATGAGTTTGAAAGTCTGCAAAGTAAACAAAGAAATAGCTTATTGATTATTGAAGACAAAGATCTGATAATGGACAGAAATGAAGATTTTAATAATAATAATTGCGATAGCATTCATCGACTATCATTGCAAGTCGAGAGTGGCGATAGCGATAGTCTCGTAATGACAAACGAGGCAGTTAATCGTACAATCATACGAATAGGTTCGAATTGTATCGATTTCGATGACTCAAATGTCAATGATATTTATATACAGCCACAACAGCAGCAACAACAACTAGAGTCGATACACGAAGTAATCAATCATAAAATAAATGATGATTATGTTGACGATGTTGAGCAAATTGAGGATGAAGAAGAAAGCGTTCCCGACCAAGCTCATGAAAGTGATGATATTAACAGCAGCGATCAAGTTATAGTTAATATTCTAGGGCAAATAAATGAAATAGTAGGTTAAAAATTAATGTACTGGAAATATTCATGAATTGCGAAAGGGATTAATTGGTGATGGTTTTCATAATAATTGTATATGTGTCTATGTGTCTATGTGCTAAATCTCTTCAGTCCTAATATGTTGTGCATTTATTCATACTTTTATTTTATTCCTTATCATCTTTTACGTCAATCTCAATAACTCTTTTTATATTTTATCGACAGTCATGAGTAAATTTCATTTTTTTTTTTCACTTAACGCAAAAATTGCAGGCAGAAGCACGTTTAGCAGCAAAGCGTCAAGCAAGAGCAGAGGCGCGTGAAATTCGCATGAGAGAGCTGGATCGTCAACAGAAAGAAATAGAACAAAATGCAGATAGGGCATATGATATGCAACAATCGGAAGCATTTTCAACACCACGTTCTAGATTGACGGTAAACAATCATGTAGGTGTGCGAGGCAATTCAATGTCGTCGCGACGAAGTAGCGAAGACTCTTTGGAGGAAGAGGGAAGAAGTTTGAGGGATCTGAGGCATGAACTGAAGGTAAATTTCTTTTTTTCTTTTGAAAGTTTAAATTTAAAATGTTTTAATCAATTTATGTCTATCAATTTTAGGATGCAGAAGAGCGCTTCCGAAAGGCAATGATTACAAATGCCCAGCTCGATAATGAACGTTCCTCACAAGCATATCAAATAGATTTACTTAAAGATAAATTAGAAGAAATGGAAGAATCATATGCACAGCTACAACGAGAACATCGAGAAAAGACGAGAGCACATGATGCAATAAAAAGGCAAAATGATAAGCTCAGCGAGGAATTAAAACTCGTTCAAGGTCAATTGAATGAGCGCGACACATTAATTGCTGAATATGGTTTAGTTATTATAATAGTGGAAAATGAGGATGGCTCTGATGCCAAACGTGTTCTAGTCTCAAATGAAAATGCTCAACTTTTGAGTACAATAGAAGGTTCAATAGGTATGAGATAATTAGCATCCAGTCGCTAATTATAGACTTTTCAATATTTAATTATTTTGTAGATGTACGACTCAAAAAATTCACAGAGGAGAAACAGGAATTACAGATTGAAGTGCAGAAACTCCAACAGCAGCTAAATGACATAAAAACACGAGGACGTAGATCAAGTTCTGTCAATGGAGTTATTGATGATGACGATTTTGAGGATGCTCAACGTGAGTTTTTGTTTTTAATCATCGAAACATTTAAAATTTAAAGCTTATAAAATTTCAATTGCAGGCGAAGCAAATAAAACAATAAATGACTATAAATATCGATTACAAAAAGCTGAACAAGAGATTGCTAGTCTTCAAGCGAGCTTAGCACGTTCAGAGACTCAGGTTATTCGTTATAAAAGTACAGCCGAGGCAGCTGAAAAGGCAGAAGCAGATCTTAAAGTTGAACGAAGGAAACTTCAAAGAGAGGTGAGCATGCAAAATTAATTTTGGAAGTTCTTATTTTAATATATTCTCTCGTGATTATTATTTAATTCCAAATCTGCAATTACAGCCGTTAATGATAGAAATATGGGATGAATGCCACTGCCAATAATATTTTTTATTCTCAATTTCCTTTATTTTCTTTATTCTCATTTTGACGATTCACGAGTTTATCTGGTACCAGTTTAATGTGTTTTTCAAATGACTTTTTGTTGTCCTTTCTTAACTTTTTAATCCAAAAATCTCTCTTATTTGACGTCCTTTTAACGTATTGAGTGCTATTCATAAAACTTTGTTAACCGACATTAAATACACACAATCAATTTGGAATTGTTGAGCAGCACAAGACTTTGTACTGCTCATAAACTTAAATTAGTGCACAATCGTGTAATTATATGCCATAATAACATCATTAGCATGATGTACAAAATACACAGTTCTAAGTACTCTCGATTAGATTGTTTTGGTAAACAATAGGTTAGTTTAGTATATTTTCAAGGTTAGAATAGTAAAATGAAGCAATTTGATGTTTATTCAGCCTTGGATCTGCTAAATATTAAAGATCTGATTATTGAGCATAGCATCACTGATCCTTTGATGGTCAAACAGCTTAATTCGATGCAAAAATAAATGAAATATTAAATTTGCCATTTGAAATGTTTGTAAACAAACAAAATTCTCATTGAATCTTAAGATTTACAATTATATGTTAAAGAAGTTTTATCGAGAGTACTCAGACACAATTAATCATACTTTGTGACAATGATTTAGCAATTTTTAATTCAATCAACTAAAATTTTGTCAATTTTATTCATTGCATTTTAGAATCGTGAAGCTACAGAGCGCCTTGAAGAGCTGGAGACCTCAAATAATCATCTATTGAAACGATTGGATAAGTTAAAGAATGCCAAAAGTGCTCTACTCAAAGATCTTTGATAAAAACAAGTAATGCCATAATCTGGATGACATTAATTGGACATCATCTTTACCATCATCAAGAAATTTGTTTTTCTTTATCATAATTATAAATTTATTATTTAACCAATTAATCAACAAATTGACTGCTTTAAATATTGAAAGTATGAAAAGCCATTCAGAAAACTTAATTGTATTTTTTTTCATCATTTCTTTTTTGTCATAGTTTTGATCAAAATATTCACTGTTTTTTGAGAATTTAGTAAATTTTAAAAATTGAAGCATAAATTAAGAAACTTGACGCTGTAAATAATTTTTTTTGTTGAATCTTTTGTACGAAAAAAAAAATATGCCATTAATTGGCCTCGCATTTAAATCTTTTTCTACTAGTTTTCCAAATTTTTTTCACGAATGATGACAATTTTTCCGTTCAATTATTTTGTACTGAACATGAAATGCTTCCAACAAGAAAAATGATAGAAAATAAAAGTGTTTGTAGAATGGACAAATGAAAGAATTCGTAGCGAAAAACATGAATTAATTAGCGAAATGATTAGAAAATGTATTGTAAATTTGTACTTAGATTTATTTCATACACATCTTATAATCAAAAAACAAGTTATCGAGAACAAAGGTCGCCCAAAAAAATCGAATTTCCTTTTTTGTAAAAAGAATTTAACTGTATTAATATTATTGAGTTTCTCAACTATTTGCTCATTTCTCTGTGAGCTGAAAAAAAGCCTAATATCATTACCATACCTAGTCTAATTTCTTATTTCTATATTCATCTTTTATGACGCATTTATTTGGTGAAATGATGTGCTTTAAAATTTTCAATTTTGTTGGTTTGTTGCATGAATGACTTGAAGGTTTGAACAATAGTTTTATCTAGACTTAGAAATTTTGAATCTATGTAAAATGTTAAAAAGATTCTTAATTCGAATTTATCTGAAGATAAGTCTTAATAAATCACAATCGACCTTCAATTCATCTCAACAAATGATCAACCTTAAATAAATCATAAAAACCAGAATGCGTCACAGCCATCCAACACACGAATGACTGAAACATTATTTTATTTACAATTTCCCATTTAATGCCTTCTTGCTACTTTACTTTCTACGATACAATTAGTGAACCAATCGAAAGCTGTCAAGATGAAAAGAATTAATGATTTAAGGAAAGAACTTTTTTTGTAAATTATGACTTGTAACAACTTAACGCTTTATCAAACTTTTTTTTGTTATTATTCAGTTTAAAATTGACTGGGAAATAACTTTGAAATAAAGAGAAAAAAAAGAATTTAAAAAATTAAATTTGAAGTTTTTTTTTCATAGAATTTACAGCAAAATTGCATTTATATGGATTAAGTAAATGATTCATGAGGAATGATTTTATCAGGAACTGATAACAACCTTTGATAAATTCACTTCAGTGTTTGAAAATTTTCATTGATTCAGTCTTTTTCTTGGTTGAATATTAAAAACTAGCATCAAAAGTGCATTCATTAAGAAATTGACATCAATAAAGTAAGCTTTGATAATAATTTGATTTCAAAAACTTTTAAAATTTACATTTTCACCCACAAAAAAAGAAGATCAACATCGATCAAATCTGCATAAATTTGCCTAGATTCCCACCCTTCAGCAATCAAAACTGAGCAACATTCAGTGGTGAAACACAACAAGTACCTCTCACACCTTCTTATAAGATATTTTTTCATTTTTTTATTAATTTTTGTGAGTTCATTTTAGTTTTTGATATTGACAAGGCACAAGCTGGAAAAATTTAAGAAATTCGCACAAAATCTTGATGATTGTTATGTAATTTTTAAAGTAATTGACGACTGGAAATAATAAATACACAGCTGTCGAACATTTTTTTATTTACGAGAACAAATAGTTGAATTAAATTTGGATAAATTTGCATTCATCAAGTCAGAGAGAAGTGGAGAATTCGAGATCAAAGGTGAGATTTTGTCAATTTCCTTTTCAACTTCTTCCTTGAAGTAACGAAAGTAAAACTGGATTTAAATTTATCTCAAATATTATGGAATGAAATCTTTCTTAATTAATTATGAAGGCTAAAGTAATTCTCTCATCCATGCCACGTACATTTTTCTGTTCACTAAGGTCCGGTTTTTTATTTTGGATATTTTTCTTGCATCCATTCAACTTTTTTACATGATTATGTTGTGAATGAGTGACGAAACAGAATCTATTGCACGTGAATTTGTGGATCAAATCACTCATAGCTATCCAAAAAGTAACATTAATAGTGTTCAGCATAAAATTTGCATGATCATCATATATACCCTAGCAGAAATTTGCTAGTAATTTCCTAGTAATTTACTGGATAACTTTCCATTTGCTACTTGCTATTTACTAGTCAAAATCCAAGTTCAAATCTTCGCCAGAGACCAGAGATTTTCGCTTGCTAATTGACTAGTCAATTCGCTTGCAATTTAACTAGTAATTTACTAGCAAATTTGTAAAAAATTTAAATGAATATAACCGGTGATTTCCACGTGTTCTTTTGATTTTTCTTATTTGTGTAAATTATTGTAAAAGTATTAGTGTGTACTTAATTAAAGTACACTAACACTATGAAAAAAATAAAAGACTTAATTTAATTAAGTCGAACACTGAAGAACGCCCATGACTCGCACGCAAACCTGAGGAAGATAAATAATTAATTGCTTAGAAAGGTGATTTCTGCGAACTCTTGTGAAGTATATGGCAAATGCCAAATTTAGAACAAAATTTTTTATGACGCAAAAAATTCATTTTTTGATGATTTTTCGTAAGATTCGAACTTAAGCAGATTTGATCAAACATTTTACATGGTAATTTGCTAGTAATTTGCTATTAAATAGTAAGTGTAATTTACTAATAGTAAGTTGTTTTAATAATAACTATTAAATTGCAAGGAGTAGAATAGAAAGACTAGCAAACTGCTAGTTAGTCTCGCTAGGGATAGAATGCCTTAAATTTATGATCAATTGTGTTTTGGACATCGAATTTATTTCATTTATTACGAATTCCTTCATTATCAATGAAGTTCAATGCTGAATAGATGAATTTTTCTTGCCATTGAACTTAAATGAAATATATTACGGACTATTCATCAATGATGTCTGTGGGGTGGGGGGCAGGTATAGGGGGTAGTCAACAATTGCTGGATGGTTTTTTTGGGTGATTTTTACAAACTTTTAAAAATTACAAAAATCTGATTAAATCAAAACTTTATCGAGCGCCTCTCCAAAGATTCAAATCAAGAATATTTAAGCATCTATATTTTTTGTGATAATTCATGTGACACATAAAAAAATCAAAAAAACTAAAAGATCTGAACTTTGATACCCCAAAAAAAAAGAGTGAGTCTTACGCCAAAAAAATGTTCTCTCCATTCGCTTAAATGACACACATTCAACAGGCGACGATATCTGTATTTGTAGAGTAAATGACGATCAAGCAGTCAGAATGAATTTTTTATTGAGAAGCAAGCTGTCAAGAGAGCGACGAGAGATCCACATAGACAATATAGTGTATAGAGAAGGAAAGCATTAATGAACGAGTAGTAACAGAAAATAATTGTAGTTTACTATCAGACAGTGAAGCGTTAAGATAACAAGCCACACAATTTTTCATTATTAAAAACGGCTTTTAGAGAGGAGAGAAAGAGTAAAGAATTTCGCGATTACCGCGGAATTAGTTGAAATTGAGACTACGTGACAAATTAATGGAACATATCAATATTGAAATTACAATATATTGAATTGAATTTCCTTTGGATATCGTCGTGTGTTAAGAATTTAATTGACCATTGACCGTGCGACGAAACAGAAGCTTAAAGTGAATAAGTGAAAACAATATTTCATTGCATTTATACAGAATTAAAAAAAAAGTGTAAATTAAAATTCAGTTTTAATAACTAGAATCAAAAAATTATAGGAAGACTAAGGTATGTTATTAATTCTGAGAATTGCGTGCAATATTTCGTTGATGACAATCCTTAAAATTCCAAAAATCATTCAATTTAAATGAAAACTTGTGTAGCTATGAGAGGAAAAATCATTAAATAAATTTTTTCGTTGCCACTTGCTTCATAGACTATAACAACATATTGTTTATGTCTCTCTCATACTTATGAATGACCTTCAACTCATAAAAAGAAACATCAAGACTGCTATTATTGCGTGCTGCTGGAAAAAAGAAGATCGATTTAACTTTTTGAAAATTAAAATTTGAGCATACAGCTTGTAGAGCAGCAGTTAAAACATTTTTTTTTAAATAATTGAAATTTTATTTATTTATTCATTCATATTCACTGAGATTCCTCGAATTTTAAAGTTTTCTTTCAATGTGGAACAATCGATATTTCGATCAGTTTTTCACTACTTTTTAGTTCCATTTCTTAGAATGAAAGTGAATTAATGGCTGTGAATTATAAAGTTCAGAATCGGTAGCTAAGTTGCTCAAGTTTTATAATTGTCATAGCAATTTAAATACATTTGGAAAGTTGAAAATTGTTGTGTGCTATAATATAGGAAGCAATTGAAATTTTCTATAAAGAAAGTGCTTAATTAAAGTGATATTTGTGGAGAAAATTTTCATTTCAATGGACGAAAGTTGTTCAGTAATTCTTCTTAATTTTTCGTTCAGTTCAGTAAAGAGTTCGTTCAATAATAACCGTAGTTCAGTTTATTTTTGACAATTGATTCAAAATTCACGGGATTAAGATATTCTTAGAATTTCTCACAAATCTTGTTAATTTTAAAGAGTAAAATAATAATATCCAGTAAGTTTTTACCAAATAATTTAAGAATTCTTTTTAATTTACAGTTTTCATTTCAAAATTTTTTTAAAATGTTAGAAATAAGTGTTGTCAAATGCCCCTTGAAATTTCCAAATTTTTAAAAAAAATTGAATTTTAAATAGATTTTATGATCATTCGAATGCATCTGGGCGATTCTCCAGATAGGTTGAATTTTTAAAAACAGAACTGTAATTCCACTGCTACTTGAAATTTTTAAATTTTTGAAATACGTTGGGAAAAATGTAAACAAAGACTTGTTAACAAAATAAAAATTTTGTTTTAATTTATAAAAATCATTTTTTTTATATGTTTTAATTAAACAAAAGGTAATTAATAATTAATATTGCACTCAATCATCGTTTCTTTTAAAAATATTCCATTTAAATTTATAACGTATTTGAAAAATTTGAATCTCACAAATTAGTTTCAAGCGCTTTAAAAATTACTCGAAGACAAAATTTTCATCAAAAGAATTGAATTTTCTTGTGAAATTTGTATCAAGCTTAATAAAATTGTTGTCATATATGATAAAGTAGTTCGTTTTCTATCGATTGGTATTTATATCATATGTCAAAGAATAGTTTTTAATACTTAATTTTTGATTATAAAAATCCAAATTCCATATTTTGTCTTCGAGAAATCGTCCGAAGAATCGAAATATTTCCTTAATTAGAGTATATTGAAAGCATTTAATTATACAGATTTGTAGAGTTTAAAAAGTTGTACAATATTAATTTGTCTTTCGAGGCTCTCTAATGGAAAAAAATTATAAAAAATTCATTTTAGTGGTGGTTTTTTGAAAAATTTTATCTGGAGAATCGCCCATCTCTAATAAAGCTGCGATAAAATCTATTATTTGAATTGAAAATTAAAGCTATTGATTTTTTTAAAGCAAAAGTTTTAAAAGTTTTTACAAAAAATCATAATAGCTTGAAAAAAAAATCAAATTTTTACGTAAAATTTCAAACAATTTTTGATATGTAAAGTTAAAAGGTCGATTTTATATCTATATTAGCATTCTTTATCATTTATAATACCTAGATATGTTTTAAAATGCAATTTAAAGCATTTTTGGTTTCGATCGTAGTAGGCTATTTTCAAAAAAAATATCGATTTTATATCTATATAAGCATTCTTTATCATTTATAATACCTAGATATGTTTTAAAATGCAATTTAAAGCATTTTTGGTTTCGATCATAGTAGGCTATTTTCAAAAAAATATCGATTTTATATCTATATAAGCATTCTTTATCATTTATAATACCAAGATATGTTTTAAAATGCAATTTAAAGCATTTTTGGTTTCGATCATAGTAGGCTATTTTCAAAAAAATATCGATTTTATATCTATATAAGCATTCTTTATCATTTATAATACCTAGATATGTTTTAAAATGCAATTTAAAGCATTTTTGGTTTCGATCATAGTAGGCTATTTTCAAAAAAATATCGATTTTATATCTATATAAGCATTCTTAATCATTTATAATACCTAGATATGTTTTAAAATGCAATTTAAAGCATTTTTGGTTTCGATCATAGTAGGCTATTTTCAAAAAAATATCGATTTTATATCTATATAAGCATTCTTAATCATTTATATTACCTAGATATGTTTTAAAATGCAATTTAAAGCATTTTTGGTTTCGATCATAGTAGGCTATTTTCAAAAAAATATCGATTTTATATCTATATAAGCATTCTTTATCATTTATAATACCTAGATATGTTTTAAAATGCAATTTAAAGCATTTTTGGTTTCGATCATAGTAGGCTATTTTCAAAAAAATATCGATTTTATATCTATATAAGCATTCTTTATCATTTATAATACCTAGATATGTTTTAAAATGCAATTTAAAGCATTTTTGGTTTCGATCATAATAGGCTATTTTCAAAAAAATATCGATTTTATATCTATATAAGCATTCTTTATCATTTATAATACCTAGATATGTTTTAAAATGCAATTTAATATTCGTTATTTTTTAAAAAATCTGGACTTGTAATCATTCATTAGTCAAAACTGGAGTTCAACGCTTTTTCATATTGTTTGCGTACTTTACTAAATAAATTATTTGGTTATAAAATTTGATATTCAAAAAAAAAATCAAACAAAAACAGCACGAAAATAATCATTAGAATAGAAAACGTGAATTTACAATTCAATGTAAACAGAATTTTTCGATAAACATATCGCAGATGTAAACTACAGTACGACTATATACATGATGAGAAAATTATACTTGTTGCTTGATTAAGCTGTAAATTTGTTTTGCTTCCTATAATTAAGAAATATAGCCGTGAATTATTTCATTGCTAAAAAATAAACAGCATATTCAACCCTCAGTTATGAGTATTTTTTCATACTTGCATAAGCACCGGTCTCCAACTTGTCTCTGCCTCACTCAATCTCTGTACATGCATTCAAGATCCAGACGAGCTTTTTTTATTTTTTATAAATTGCGCCAATGCAAAATGTAACTTATTTTTTTATTATTTACTGGCGTACGTGACTTTTACTGTTTTTCTTCAATTTCTTATCCTCTATAAACAAGCGAGTTAAAGAAGTTTAGCACATTAAATTTATGATGTCATTGACGAAATAACTTAACTTATTAGGATGAAGTTATCGAATATTTTTATGAAAGCGTAAATGGAAGTCACCCCTATGTAAAATTTACTATTATAGGTTGAGGATGACACCATCGATGATAAAAAAAAAGCCACAAAGTCACAAAGTATTTGTAAATAATACTATAGATACTGTAGATCCAAAGTCACATTGTTTCTGTTGACTCAATTGCAAACACGTGAAGCTTTTAAACAAGGGAGATCTCAATTTAAAATTATATATTACTGATGTTGTCTTACTCGAATGTTCAGAGTACACAAGTGGAATATTTTGATGATTTCTTGTGAGATTTTCTGTAAATATTAAATATTATTAAATTTAAATATATAAAGCTACAGAGAGAATTTGATCTTAAAAAGGGGAGTTGAGTTGGTTTCTGGATCCAAAAGAGTTGCGTTAAGTGTGCACCAGATTGGATCCTGTTCTTATTGTCCCGCTAGAATTTTTACCAAACTCATATACATACAAACCGAGTAATAAACCAATTTAGAAACACATCATTGCATATCGTCATTAATCAGCCCAAATCAGATTTCATCATATTCACCCAAAATTTCATTTCCAAACTAGACATTCCAAATTGTTTCCTACATAACTCACCTTCGACAACTTGGTTGCAAAATGCGATTCACATTTTTCAAGCTTTAAAATCTCCCACGACAGTCACACACGTGTAAGATGTTCATTGACATCTCCGCTAATTATTACGATCATTTTCTTTGCAAATTGTCAAATTACGCAATTATCAATGCAAAGGCAAGCATAATTGGTGGATTTAATAATTCAAATCCATTTTTTGCACAACCTTGATTTATTACAAAATTTAATCGACAAATTTAGGCTATACGATGATCTTTGTTGTAACATGTCTGATGACTCGACATTATTTGTTATCTCTTTATGGTGTTTCCCAAAAAAAGTAATCAGTCTCTGTCCCCTTTTAAGACTCGACGAATTTTGTCATTTAAATTTACATCAAATTTCAACAAAATTTAAATATTGTCATTACCATCAAACTTTAGCAATGACGAAACAAAAATGTACGTAATTTAAGTGACCTTTGTGGCATTACATACTTAGACACTCATAGAAGTAAAACAAGAGTCTGACGCACGCAAGCCATGCTTGTTTTTTGGCGGTTAAGATGCCAATTAAACCTGTTTTTGAGAAGAGTTTTGCTCTGTCATTAAGAAATCGAAAAGAAGTTCCAACAATACTATTAGAGTAGTCATTCCTTAAGGATTGCCACTTAGTGACGCAGTTTTTGATAATCATTGTGATCTTCAATCATTTGACCGGTTTTGTGAAAATGCTTGATTATTATCGATTGGAAATTTATTATTCGTTAGATTCTTGTTTAATTAAGGATGTTTGTAGGTCTTTTTCGTTTTTGTTTTGATTAATTAAGCTGGTTCATTGCACTTTTGATATTTAAATATTAATACTGTTGGTTTGGATGTTTAAAAGCTTGCCATTCCTTAAAACTAATTATGACTGCGATTAAAATCATTCAATGAACCTTAATTCAGTTCATGAGCAATAACTTAATGTTGTTTTAGCAAAAGTATTATTAAAATGAAGTTGAGGCAGTCTTTTTGATAAGTTGTAACTGTTTTTTGCACCTAATATACTCAAAGTTCCCAAAAACTTGTCAAATTCTCTGTATTATTAAATTTAGTCATATTCATTGAAATCAATCACTCAAAATGTTCTCAAAACTCATCCAAAAAACAAATTTAACTTAATTCTACGTCTACATTAACTTCCTCTCTAACCTTATATCTTCTGTCTCAACTTCCTCTTATCTCCCATTTTGCGTATACATCTTGTTCTTAAATCTTAAATCATTTCATTCAATTATTTGGACACTTCTCGGTGGATGTCTCCTGCAATTGAGGCAGAAGTAATTTCATTTGTGCGAAGATGCGGTTCTGTGCTGATTGGATATCTCTTTGGTTTATTTTTAGAATTTTTTGAATATTTTTTTCAATGTCATGCATAAAAATTCAGCAACTTGAGGAGCAACAAAGTCATTAGTAATTGAAGATGTCTATTTCAATTATGTAGATTCAGTTATTGTCAATTGAATTATTAATAGGGAAAAAATTGAAGAGATTTATTGCGCAAAAGAATGCCTTAAGTTTGTATCGAACATACTCAGTATGAAAAATTGAGAGAATAAAAAAATAAATGACGTAAAGTATTTATTAATTTCCATATTTGGAATGTCATTGCCATTGAATTTAATTTATAAACGTAGCGAATGCGATAAGAGTAGCTCTGTGTGCCTTATCATCATCATATCGGGTCTCACTAGATTTTCTTCATTTATTTCCATTCACGGCCATGTGCTTATCAGTTATTCTCTTTCTTCCTCTCATTCCCTTTTTTGGTTTGATTCCTCTTTGGCAAAAATCGACGTAACATTATTGTTGTGACTAACTGACAACTTATTTCACAATATAGCTGTAAATTTATCTCTTAATTACATTAATTGACTAATTTTGTGGCTAATTTCCATGGAAAAATTAATGATTGTGATGAAATTTTTGTCTAATCAATGGCACACTTATTTATTGTTAGGCATGAAACTTACCTGGATATATTGGGCAATGATATGGAGATACATGTTTGGCAATGAAAAGCTAGTGATAACATGTTAAGTTCGAGAAATCAATCAACTAGGAACAAGAATATTATTGTTGTTGTCTTTAATGGAAGTTCTACTCGTTTTAATAGCTTTTACGGTTGGAAACCATCGACTTTAAAAAATTCAAACTCAAGCGATTGTCTTAAATTCAAAACATTTAAATTGAGATGGGATGAAGATTGAATCATTAAGAAATCTTAGTTCAGTTCAGTCTGGTTTATTTACTTTTTCGAATCATCCCCTGAATCCATAATCTAGGTATAGATTTCTACTATATTTAATCTGGTCAGCAAGTTAAAATTAAAACATCCAAACCAATATGTAAGATAGAATTTAAAACCCCTACAATAACCAGCCATCCAGTAAACAGAATTGTGACGTATGACGTAATTGTTCTAAAGTACTGGATCTTTAATTATTTATTGTGCTTCACTAAAATAAGAACTTTAAGTTTTCATGCTTCAAAAATCATATTAATAAGCCTGTCAAATAGATAAATCCCTCAAAAGTGTTCATGCTCTGCGATCAAAATATTAAGAGTTGTCAAGCACATACAAAAATATTGTCCATTCAGAAACACTCCTCTCTCGCTCTCTTATCTCATGTTATCAGCTGACTAACGAGCAAGAATTTGTCTTCGTTCCATTCATTTGTGATTGTCGACTCTACGAATTAAAACATTAATTTAATCTAGGCTCGTGCATTTAAAATTAATTTATTTTGTTCCTCTAAATTTAATAAAACTAGTAAATAGAAGCATATAGAAACATGGAATCAACACAAGAAGCACCTGCGCCAGAGCCATTCTTCAGCCTTTTAGATTTTATTTTACTTGCTGTACTGCTAGGTGGTGCAGTATGGTGGTTATTAAAAAATAAAAAGAAGGAACCGCCAGCATCAGTTAAATCATATTCCATTCAACCAACGACAGTCAATACCATGACAATGGCTGAAAATTCATTCATTAAGAAACTCAAGTCATCAGGAAGAAGTTTAGTTGTATTTTATGGTTCACAAACTGGAACGGCTGAAGAGTTTGCTGGACGATTAGCTAAAGAAGGGATGAAATTTCGTCTTAAGGGAATGGTTGCTGATCCAGAAGAATGTGATATGGAAGAGCTGCTACAGTTGAAAGACATACAAAATTCACTTGCTGTCTTTTGTCTCGCAACTTATGGTGAAGGTGATCCAACTGATAATGCAATGGAATTTTATGAATGGATCACTAATGGTGATTTCGATTTGACTGGATTGAATTATGCGGTGAGTATTAAGGCATAGATTCTCATAAGAACTGAGCAACGATCATAACAGTTTAAAAATATTTGAATTTTCGATGACTTTTTCACCACTCGATCCACGTGACGTCATAAACACCAAAAACGTAGAAAATGTGCGAAAGGTCTATCCAAAAAAATTAATTAAATACATTTGAGCTTTATTAAAATAAGTTAAAATATTTTAAAGTAAAAAATAATGTTAATAAGTAGTTAAACCAATAGAAAATGTATTCAAGCTAAAAGCTTAAGATTCAGTTCTCATAATTATTTCAAGCTGTTGCATCACAATCGTCCTTGTAATGAAAACATTCTTTTATTGACATTAATAATTTCAATCAGAGCTATGAGACTTTATTATAATTTTGTACGGCAATTTTATTCGTCGGCTAATTTAGTGTGGATTAATAATTTAGTTTATTCAAATCATGTCGCGAAATTCCGACTAAAGGTTAAATTAATTATTTTTATATTAAAGTATGTAATTAATACACGGCTTATTGTAATTTTACATTTTCCTGTCCTTATTTTTCTATGACATTTAGGTATTTGGATTAGGAAATAAGACTTATGAGCACTACAATAAAGTTGGCATTTACGTAGACAAACGTTTGGAGGAACTAGGGGCATCAAGAGTCTTTGAACTCGGCTTAGGTGATGACGATGCAAAGTAGGTCAAAATCCATTTAATTATTCTTATCAGCTTGCTAATCAGTGACTTCTATTTTGTAGCATCGAAGATGATTTCATAACATGGAAGGATAAATTCTGGCCAGCAGTATGCGAATTCTATGGTATCGAAAGTACAGGCGAGGAAGTAATGATGAGACAATATCGCTTATTAGAACAGCCAGATGTTGCACCAGATCGTATTTATAGCGGTGAAGTTGCTCGTTTACATTCACTTGTGAATCAACGACCACCATTTGATGCCAAAAATCCATACTTAGCACCAATGAAAGTTAATCGTGAATTACATAAAGCTGGTGATCGCTCATGTATGCATGTTGAATTTGATCTTGAAGGATCAAAGATGCGCTATGAGGCTGGTGATCATCTTGCAGTATATCCAGTCAATGACACTGATCTAGTTGAACGTTTAGGAAAATTATGTAATGCTGATTTGAATACTGTCTTCTCATTGATTAATCTTGATACGGACAGTAGTAAAAAACATCCATTCCCATGTCCAACGACATATCGTGCAGCTTTAACTCATTATTTGGAAATAACAGCACTTCCGCGTACGCATATTATAAAGGAATTGGCTGAATATTGTAGTGATGAAAAGGATAAGGAATTCTTAAAAATGATGTCATCAACAACGCCCGAAGGAAAGGCAAAATATCATTCATGGGTTCAAGATGCATGTCGTAATATTGTTCATATTCTTGAAGACACTCCATCATGTCGTCCCCCAATTGATCACATTTGTGAATTGTTGCCTCGCTTGCAGCCTCGATACTATTCAATTTCTTCATCATCCAAAGTAAGCCACTTTATCTGTAATTTTGTAGATCCTTTAAATTGATTGAATTTGATTCATTCTAGTTACATCCAACGACTGTTCATATCACAGCTGTTCTTGTTCAATACGAAACACCAACCGGTCGATTAAATAAGGGTGTTGCCACAACATTCCTTTCTCTTAAGCATCCTGAAACTGACCAACCATCGCCTCGTGTTCCAATCTTTATCCGTAAGAGTCAATTCCGTTTGCCAACTAAGCCAGAAACTCCAGTAATTATGATTGGACCTGGAACTGGTTTGGCGCCATTTAGAGGTTTTATTCAGGAACGTGATGTATGTCGTAAAGAAGGAAAGACTGTAGGAGATACAATTTTATACTTTGGATGCAGAAAGAGGTCTGAGGATTACATTTATGAAGAGGTAATTTTTTTGCGACAATTTTAGATTGTGATGATGTGATTATAAGGTGCTGGATCTAATATTTACAATGTAATGGTGTATATCAGAATCCAGCTTCACCAGATAAATAACATCTACATGCCGCAATTCTTCTTATAATTAAATTCTAAAACTTTTCATTCTTGTGTATTTAGGAACTTGAGGATTATGCCAAGAACGGAACTGTAAAATTGCGCTTGGCATTCTCTCGTGATCAACCTCATAAAGTCTATGTTACACATTTGTTAGAACAAGATGCTGATCTCCTATGGGATGTTATTGGTGTGAATAAGGGTCATGTGTATATTTGCGGGTAAGAAGTCAATTTAAAAGACAATTTGAGGCAGTTGAGCTAGCCTAGTGTCTGTCTTAAGTACTTAAGTTCAATAAATGTCATCTAATGTATTGCTTTTCTGTCCTATAGTGACGCAAAGAATATGGCAACGGACGTAAGAAATATTTTATTAAATATCATCAAGACCAAGGGAAATATGAGCGAAAATGAAGCTCAGCAATACATCAAGAAGATGGAGACACAAAAGAGATACTCAGCCGATGTATGGAGTTAAAGAAATCAACCATAAATCATTCTCAGTCGCAGTCACAGTCTAAACACACAAAAAACCATTTACATTAAAAAAAATATGCAATTGTGCATTAATCTTTTGAATGAAAGAGTCAAAGTGCCTCTAAATTTCATTTCCTTGACATTTACTTTAATTTTATGTACGAAAAAAATGTTCATTAGTGAGAAATTTTATCAATTTAGACTTGTAAGCACGCAGAGGGATTTTTTTTATTATTACTATTATTAAAAAGTGGATCAAAAAGTGCAAAGAATGGCATAAATATTGTAACTAGTAATTCTATTGGTTAGGAATTGATTTAAAAAAATTGAGAAAAATAAAATTTCATTTTTTAATATTTATTCATTGACACAACTGTTTCATTACTTTAATCATCCTCAATTTGTTCAGGCTGTTTATTGTCATACCATAGGTGCGCGGTATTTAATTATTCCTATCGATAACCTCCACGTACACAATTTTTGTGTCTTATCGAAAGAAAAATATTTCAATCGCACATTTACATGTCGAATTAATTAAAATGTCCCTTACATGCTATTGAACTGAATGATTTTACATACAAAAGTTACAGGTTCATATAAGATCATCCCTTATTACGGCAGAAAAGTTGTTAAGCTTTACTGTTGTAGGATTTGATTGAGGTTCTTAATGAATGCCACGTTTTATTTCTGAATTGTTCATTAAACTTGTAGAATAGAATCTGAAGTTTCGCAATATTTAGGCGAATCTACCAAGTACTAGAATAAAGCATCTGTGGCTGAGTGGTTACCTGTATTGTCTACACTGTTGATCGAATACCCTTAAATTCTTATCAAAAACTCTGAAAATATGCAAAAAGCCATGAAGGTTCACTTATAGATTTACCTTTCATATTTAAACTTACTGGCTCTCATCCCTAATTCTACAGATTTGTTTTTGAACCATTCTTAAAAGATAGCTGAAACAAAGGTCTCAATACTGATGGTGCAGTTTCAGAATTAAGCACAAAATCACCACAGATTTTTAACAAGCTGTTGAACAGTTCCATTTTAGATAAGCTATAATTATGTCAATTAGCTTTATTCTGTTTAAACCTACACTTTAAAGCGTGCATTCAATAAATAAGTTGATGATTTTGATATACGTGGATCTAATTCAGAAACGTTTCTTAGTCCACAGCATCCATGGAAAAACAACTTAAAACCTGGCCATAAAACCTCCACATCACCAACTCGCTTAGTTTAAAACTCATGTAACTTAAAAAAACGAAGAAAACACTTGTGTCGCGTCATGTAAGTCTCATGGACATTAAGCTTCTTAAAAACTAATCATCAAATAGTATAAAAGAGAACAGGATATATGCTTAGTCAGTTCAGTTTAGCTTTGACTTCATTAGAAGTAATATTAAGCTATGAAAATTAAGTTCCTAGTAGTATTAGCAGTTACCTGCTTATTCGCTCATCATGTCTCAGCAAGTGGAATGAAGGCTGAGGAAAAGAAGAATGATGCAGCACCAAAACCTGTACCAGTACCTAAGCCTAAAGAAGAAAAACCTGCTAAGCCCGAATCTTCAGAATATGAGATTGAAATTATCCATCATAAAACAGAAAAGACTGTAAAAAAGGAGAAAGAGAAGAAAACTCATGTCGAAGTCAAGAAAGAAGTCAAAAAGAAGGTAAAGAAGGAAAAGACTTGTGAAGAAACATTGAAGGAAGAAAGAGCCGATTGTGAGAAATCTTGCAGTGCTGGATTCAAACCAGTCTTCACATTTAAAGAAGATGGCAAGGATTGCAATTGGGAATGCAATTATGAAGCACTTCCACCACCTCCAGGTCAGAAAGAGGTAAAGAAGGAAAAGAAGATCGTTACAGTGACCAAAGCACCAAAACCAAAAGCACCAAAGAAGCTTAAGAAGGAATGCTCTGGCGAAAAAGTGATCAAATTCGAAAATTGTCTTGTTAAAGTTAGAGGCCTTATTGCCTTTGGTGATAAGACAAAGAACTTTGATAAGAAGTTTGCCAAGCTCGTCCAAGGAAAGAAAAATAAGGGTGCAAAAAAGGCTAAGGGTGGTAAGAAAGGAGGCCCAAAACCAGCAGTACCAAAATCATCAGCTCCAAAACCAGCAGTACCAAAATCATCAGCTCCAGTCCAACAAACCACTATGTAAATGAAAAATCAAAAATATTTGACATAGTAAGCATGATAAAATAAACATTATTTGAGCAACATCACAATACAACACAACAAACAATCATATCAACATCATTAATACCTAACAATCCTCGTTAATCACTTTTTTTGAAATGAAAATCCAAAACAACAACAATTTGGGAATCTTACACAATTTTTTCCCAAACCCTAGTTTTAAGGTTATTTTAGTTTTAAGTTTTAAGAAATTAGAGAATCATTTTCAAAAAAACAAACCTATTGAATAGATCTAATCACCACTGTAAAAAGATTAACACTATTTTTATCAATAATAACAAGATGAAAATTATGTAAGATACGATTGCGATATACAAAAATAATATGATATTTTCTTTATAAGAAAATCAAAAACTTACATGAACAAGTAGACTACTAAGGGCTATAAAAATACTAAGGAATTTAAAAGAACTGAACCAACAACATCTAAATAAAAGCGTGTATTTAACATCTTTTTCATGCAAACCTTGACTTGATTTACTTTTATTTCATTAAAGTTATAGAACTAAATGTAATAATCGGACAAGGGATGCAACATTCTGCTTTATAGTCGACTAAAACTCCTGATAACTCAGTGGCCCGTTCACATTCATTTCTCGAAGTTGTTCTTTTTCTGTTGTCTTGATTCAACTTAAAACCAATTGAACTGACATCAAAGCATATTTTTAAGCTACCTTGTTGGAGAATGATCTGTTTAGTTTGGATTTGTTTTTGAATTAGCTATACTTTGTTAATAGCTAACCTTTAAAGCTTATGATTTTGATATACGTGGATATATTTCAGATCCATGCCTTACTGTGTAATTTCCAATGAAAACAACTTCAAACCAGACCATAAAACCTCCACATCACCACGATTCTTATTTTAAAACTCATGTGACTGAAAAAATGTAGGAACACTTGTATCGCGTCATTAAAACCTCATCGAAATAAAGCTTCCAGAAAGCTTGTCTTTCAATAGTATAAAAGAGAATTGAAATATGGCTCAGTCAGTTCAGTTTAGCTTGGACTTCATTAGAAGTAATATTAAGCTATGAAAATTAAGTTCCTAGTAGTATTAGCAGTTACCTGCTTTTTTGCCCATCATGTCTCAGCCAGTGGAATGAAGGCTGATGAAAAGAAGAAAGAACTAGCACCCAAAATTGATGCAGCACCTAAACCTAAAGAAGAAAAACCTGCAAAGCCTGAATCGTCAGAATATGACATAGAAGTTATTCATCATAAGAAAGAAAAGACCGTCAAGAAAGAGAAGGAGAAGAAGACTAAGGTCGAAGTGAAGAAAGAAATCAAAAAGAAGATAAAGAAGGAAAAGACTTGCGAGGAAACACTCAAGGAAGAAAGAGCCGATTGTGAGAAATCTTGCAGTGCTGGATTCAAACCAGTCTTCACATTTAAAGAAGATGGCAAGTATTGCGATTGGGAATGTGACTATGAAGCACTTCCACCACCTCCAGGTCAGAAAGAGGCAAAGAAGGAAAAGAAGATCGTTACAGTGACCAAAGCACCAAAACCAAAAGCACCAAAGAAGCTTAAGAAGGAATGCTCTGGCGAAAAGGTAATCAAATTCCAAAACTGTCTCGTTAAAGTTAGAGGCCTTATTGCCTTTGGTGATAAGACAAGAAATTTTGACAAGAAGTTCGCAAAGCTTGTTGCTAAAAAGCAAAAGAAGGGTGCAAAGAAAGCTAAGAAAGGTAAGAAAGGAGGCCCAAAACCAGCAGCTCCAGCACCAGCCGCATCAGGCGCAACAGGCGCAACAGGCACATAAGCCGCATCAGCCTCACTTTCCGCTATTTAAAAAGACAACAATAACAAATTGAACTAGTAAGAATAAAAATAAACATTATTTGAGCAACATCACAACACAACAAACAATCATATCAACATCATTAATACCTAACAATCCTCGTTAATCACTTTTTTGAAATGAATATCCAAAACAACAACAACAATTTGGGAATCTTACACAATTATTTCCCAAACCCTAGTTTTAAGGTTATATTAGTTTTAAGTTTTAAAAAGTTAGAGAATCATTTTCAAAAGATAGAATAATTAAAATTGACCACAACCAATTGAATAGATCTAATCACCACTGAAAAAAATTAACATTATTTTTATCAATAATAACGAGATGAAAATTTTGTAAGATACGATTGCGATTACAAAAATAATATTTTCTTTATAAGAAAATTAAAAACTTACATGAACAAGTAGACTACTAAGGGCTTAAAAATACTAAGGAATTTAAAAGAACTGAACCATTAACATCTAAATAAATAAAAGCGTGTATTTAACATCTTTTTCATGCAAACTTTGACTTGTTTTACTTTTATTTTAATAAACTTTTAATATGTTTCAGTATTATTGAATATTTTATAGCTTTTATTATTGAAATCGAAGTAATCTGTTTTGGTCAAGAGTATAAACTTATTAAAGATCATCAAAACGTTTTCTAATTCAAAGGTTCTAGATATTTTTGAAAACTTTAATGAATTATTCTCTTATGCTCAGGAAAAAAATTCAAAAATTTCCATGTTAGATTTTAAAATTTGTCAATTCTAATTGAAATTATTAAATCTGAAGTAAAATTTTTTCTGAATTTTAAAATAAAGTTTTGAAATCAAAAATACTCATTTTAAAATTATAAAGTGCAAATTTTTAGATTTTCATTCCAAAATAAAACTTTTGATTTTAATGTACAATTTTTGATTTCAAAAAATTTTGCATTTTAAAGAAAAAATTTTAGATTTAAAAGTTTTTGTTTTTGATTTTTGAAAACAATAATTCGCAGAAATATTTGAAGCAAAACAAAACATCGCAGAAATCATGGCATCAAGTCCAACCGTAATTTCCATACAAACTTAAGATATGTATAAGAATATCTTTCACATGAATGAAATTTCCTCTGCCTCACAAGCGTTCATGCTTTATGTTTTTTTGAGTTCATCCACTTAATTTGGTTTAAATTGAAAGATTAATTTAAAAAAATAAAAAATTATTATTTTAAATTCAAAAATCTTTACTTTAGATTATAGAATTTTATTTTTAAATTTAAAAAATTAATGTTGAGTTTTGTGTTTAATAAAGAATTGAAAATATTTTTTTCATTACAAAATTTTCTTTTAGAAAATAAAAAAATTTTTCTTTTAGAAAATAAAAAAATTTTTCTTTTAGAAATCTATAATAATCCTTGGGGTTGCAATACAAAAATTTTCTATTAGATTTTTTCATACAAATTTAAAATTCAATATTAGATTTTTTCTTTGAGTATATGTTTGAATTCGTTCTCTTATAATTGTCTATCAAACATACTCAAGCTGCTCACCACTGGGAAGGCTCACAAAATTTAAGACTTCAAGATAATGAATGATATTAGAAAATGACTATGTAGGAACTAGTAGTAATTTGAGGAATGTAAAATTAAAGTTACTAAAACTTGTCCTGAGAATAGAATTTGGTTTTGCTAATGCCTCTACAACATCGAAACTTCTTTAAACTTTGAAAGAATCTCTGAATTGTCATTTGATTTATGTAGAGAACATCCAACTTCAATCAATTGAAATCATATTGCTTGATATTTTATTTGATCAAAGTCATACAATTAAAGGCAACCTTTACGTGCAATAAAAACATTTAACACAAATCTTTTTTATCGAGATTTTAATTCACAATTTTCAAAAATTATTTAATGAGAAATTTTCGGAAATGAAATTTAAAACGAATGATTTTCATCAATTTCGTGTTAATATCTACAATTGCGTTTTTATTTTAATTGCGACGATCCAGCGAGTAGATTATTGAAAATATTTAAACAGATGGCAAAAAAAATAATAAAAACAAAATTTACCTCGAATTAAGTTATAATTGTTTTTAAAGACTGAACACGTGTCAAGCATTTTCGCGCGACTTAAAATTTCAAATTTGAAAAAAAAATCGGATAATAGAATCAAGAGTCATATAATCGTGATTTGCAGCACAATCGACCAAAAATAATAAAAAAAAAAAAAATTGAACAACATTAAAAAAATCTCAAGGAAGGAAAAAACTTTTTGTTTTTATTTCATTTATTAAAGTAAAAATTAAGAAATCAAAAAAGAACAAAATGGAGCAGCAGATCATCTCGCTCTGCTACCTCTTATTTCTCCAAATTGCATTTATAAACACAAAATCACAATTATTTACGCTAAAAAATAATAAAATCATTATGTTATCACAAAATGTTGACGATTTTGATGATATCTTTTACATTATCTCAACGACAGAGCCACAATTTGGTAATACATGGACGAAAGAAAGTGATAATTTTGATTTTACAATTGGAATTGATGCAGAAATCGAGTAAGTGGGATTTTTCTGATAAAAAAGTTTCCATTCTTGCCTCACACGAATCAAAAAAAAATAAAAAATATTCTCACATAAAACATTTTCAGTTCGCACAACAGTGATAACAGAACGTCAATCCATCAAAGACTTGAAAACAGCACAAAGCAACCAAAAGATGAGCAGCAACCACAGCCATATGAGGTTCTCGATTGTGGTAAAGCAGTAAATTTTACCGTGTTTGATGAGCTTGTGGGAATAGCAAATCGTAAGAAGCACAAGACATTACCAGAGCCTGACGTACTATTTACATTTACGACAAAAGCAAAGAGTGGCAAGCTGAGGAAGAATTTCGATGTTGATGCATTGGAGTCTAAACTTAGGAAGGCAAAACGTGATAAACCAAGAAGTGTGCAACTTTATAACCAAATTGGAAATTTCCACAGAATTAAAGGAGATGCTCTGCTATCGATTGAGTGCTTTAGAAAGGCACTTTCTATAAATCCTACAAACAGTGAAGTGATTTTGAATCTTGCTCGGGTACTTTTTCATCAAGGGTATCTAGAAGATGCAATATATCTTACGCGGAGGTAAATAATTCAATTTACTATTTCAATGATTTCCAATTATGGTAATTCAACATTCAATTTTTGTAGATCCCTTGAGGTACATTCCAGTGATGCTCGTGCAACATGGAGACAGTACTTTACTCTTGGTGAGATTTTTAAAAAGTATGGAAACATACAAGAATCAATATTGCATCTCCGGCATGCATTAGAACTGTCTCCACATCATGATAAGATTCTGCAGGCACTCGAGGATATTGAGAAACTTCCTATATCCTCACTGCATTTTTATACAATTCTCATAATATTGCTTCTGGTCATTTGCGTTTTAATTGTGATGAGATATTTAAATCAGGATGAGTTTCCTGGAAATGATACGGACATAAAGCCACAGAAAGCACGGTGCTTTAAAATTCGCGGTGCGATGAGTAAAGTGCGGGTAATAAGAAGAAAATAAGCCATTAATTATGTCTCTTGATATTGAATGTGTGTAAAATTTACTGATGATGATTACAATGATGTGTATTTTAGAAGTTTTTAAGGTAACAAGAAATGCATAGTTCTCTTCTATCTCTTTATCCCTATTCTGTTTTCTTCATTATTGCCGAAAAAAAAGATAAATTTCTACTATACTACTACTTTCCATTACTAAAGTGACGATAATACTCAATACACGAGAAATAATTGAATGAGTCTCGGCCAGAAATTGAAGTTCTTGAAGATAATTTGGTGGTTGTAAGTTTTTGACATTAAGTTCAAAAGTAAACTTGCTAGAAATTGTTTTGTGAAACTTAAAAATTGGCGGGAAAAAGCAAAAGTGTTTTAAATTTTCATTAGATTCTTATGATAGATATTTCACTAATGTTTTAAGTATTGTTTAACCTTTATTGATGCGTTGTTGGCAGGTTTTTGGTCAATTTAGAAGATGAAAATAAAGTTTTTTTCAAGTTTAATGTAGATTATCTTAAAATAGTAATCTCGTGAATTTGTACTAGTTTAATTTTTTTTATAAACTAGCAGTGCTTTAAAACAACTTAATATCTGTTAAAATCAGGGACCGAAATGAATGAAAAACATCTTTGATGAAAAACATCATTATTTTTGATGATGAAAAAAATTATGTTTTTAAGAATCATTTTTACGTAGGATTTCATCGCGTAAAGCAAAAATGACGTATAAAATGTTTTTATGCAAGTTTTTTAAGCAAAACTAATCTATTCTATCTCTTGTTCTTATTATTTAGCATTATTAATACATTTGGTGTGATTTTACTGCATTTTTTGTTTAATATGACAAAAATTTTCAATTGCAATAATTTTCATCTATTTGAAGCATAATTTAAGCTATGACAGTTGCAAATTGTTTATTATCACTGAATAATTACAGCAACATGCTTAAACAGAACCAAAAATGGCTTAAAAAATAGGAAATTTTGAGAATTTTTAAAAAAAGTCATTTTTGATCTTTCGTAAACAACATCGAAAAAAATGCGGAAAATTTCAAAATATTTATAGTTTAACTGACAGTGTGCTATCCAGAGTCCTTGGCATCAAAAATAATGATGTTTTTCATCACAGATTTTTTTCATTCATTTTGGTCCCTGGTTAAAATCATTAACATCAAATTTTCATGATCAAAATCTAGCAACGGGGTACTTAACTTTGTAAACATATTTTAAAGGGCCATTCAACTATTCAAATATAAAAAATCTGTTAAAAATTATCTTCGACGACTTCAAATTCTGGAAATTCATACAATTGTGTGAAACCAAAAAAATAAGTCTGTGACTGAATAAGATTCATTCTAACATTTTTTATATATATTTTAAAGAGAATTTTTTGTGCTACTCAAAGCAAAAATATTTAATCTATGCTAATCCAGCTTCCAAACTCCCTAATCTCTCTATTTCTCTGGTTGTTTATCATATAAATAATGTAGAGACAAATAATTTATAAAGTCACAGCATAGTAGATGAAGTGACACGGCTGATTTGTCTCAATTTATTAATTTATGCATGATAATTTTGTAATCCTTAAGAGAAACTCCTTGAGAATATTGTTTGGATATAGATCGAGAAATGCATAGTGAGGATAATTTCAGTGTAAACATTTTTAAATGTAGACTATTTTTTAATTATTGCCAATCCAGTGAACTTCTTTCTTAATTATATTGTACATTACGCTTAATTTTTTATATTTTTTTATTATGACAATTTTTTTTAAAACAAACAAGAAATAATTAATGTATGAAAATTGCCATAAATGTGATAGATTTAAAGTGAAAATCGAGAAACAAAACAGGTTGAAATTTTTTTGATGATTTTTTTAATGGCGAATTTTACTTACAAATATGTTCGAGAAATTGTAGTTGAATTCCTGATTATTTAGGCAGTGTTTTATACTTTTTTCGGCGGTAAAATTTACAGCTTAGTACAAATTATGATAAGTTTATAGAAGCAGCAATTTTAGACTTTTTTTATGGAAGAATTTATTTTAAACGTACTAAAAGATTTCAAATTTTTAAAACATTTGTATGGTTTTCAAATTCTTAGAACTCTACAATTCCTTATTCTGGTCTAAAACCATACAAATTTTAAATTTGATTTGAAAGCTCTACAAAAGCTTAGTAACATTCAGAACCTTACAAATTCTAAAAAAGCTTACATCACAAAACTTATTTACAACCATTTTTAAATCATTATCAATGGTTGTGATATAAACTTTTAAATCAAACCTATCGCAACTATAAAAGCTCAGCTAATAAATTTCATGAAAAGCTTACTAGTCATGATGAATAAAAATCATGAAATAAATGACATTCACAAACTTTTGGAACCTCATTTTGATGCATGTTTATAAAGTCAACTCAATTCAACTACAATTTATGCTATAATTTATTTTTTATGATTATTTTTTTAAACTTTCTTTTTTAAAAAGCTTTTTTTTCAACTTTGAAACCAAAAAAAAATATAAAGAATGATGGAAATTTTGTGGTAAAGTGTTAAGTAATTTATGATGAACAAACAAATACGAGTTTCATTTGTAGTGTGATTTCAATGTTGAATGACAAAAGAATTAAGAATTGTAGTAAAAAAGGATCAACAAGCACACAACTTAAAAATGAAGAAAATAAAGTCAAAGCATTGTATTATAATTAAAAGATAATTTAATTTTTTATATTCACACCGTTTTCACGTGTGAATGTTTTGTTTTTGTTCAGATTGAAAAATCAGTTTTTTTGGATTTTGTGAGTTAACGAAGCATTTTAGCTTTAAATGTATGAAAAAGAAAAGTTTGTACCTGAAATTTTACATCTTATGTAAAAAAACAGATTTCAAATTGGTTGCGGCGTTGCTGAGAAAATCGAAAAATACGCTTTCTGAAAGCAAGCAAGCAAGCAAGTTAATCGGCAGAAAATCTCAATAACGAGACATCGTAGAGACTTCAAGTTTTTTACATTTGATCCGTGCTGCTCTATAGAAGAGCTGTATTGTTTTTGGGCAAGGTAGGAACAGCCGTTGCTTCAGAAAAAGCAAAAAACTTTCCTTTCTTACGAATTTTTCAAAACAAAAGTTCACTGTGATTTTTTTTTATTTTAAATTAAACTTTGGATGAAAAAAATTTTTTTGAGCAAAGAACCAAGAAGGAAATACATTTACAATTATGAACTTGGGACAGGTCTAGTCAAAATCTAGTTTTTCACTTTCTTTCTTCGAAGGTTTATCCAATTACAGTGAAACTTTGTGTGAGTATACTAATATTTATACAAAACAGTTTTAAATATCTAAAGCAAGAAATGTATTCTATATGTCGTCAGACCCAAATTTTATAAATTTGGTTGTACATTCAAAAACAACGTGACTTAAAAATTTGTCCAAAAAATGATTTTTATTAATTCAGAAATGTGTGACCTGAAGATTAGAATGCTCATACAAAGTTTAACTGTATTTGGATTTATCGTCGAAGAAAAAAGTGAAAAACTAGATTTTGACTAGGGTCGCCCCTAGTCCAAAATTGAAAATGTATTTCCTACTTGGTTCTTTGCTCAAAAAAATTTTAGGATGTTCTATTTGTATTTGTTTTAAGCACTAGAATATTTATGCAAAGTCTAATCCATTTGGATAAACCCTCGAAGAAAAAAGTGACAAAATTGATTTTGACTAGGGTCGCCCCTAGTCCAAAATTTAAATTGTATTTCCTACTTGGTTCTTTGCCCAAAAAAATTTAGGATGTTTTATTTGTATTTGTTTTAAGCACTAGAATATTTATGCAAAGTTTCAATCCATTTGGATAAACCCTCGAAGAAAAAAGTGACAAAATTGATTTTGACTAGGGTCGCCCCTAGTCCAAAATTGAAAATGTATTTCCTACTTGGTTCTTTGCTCAAAAAAATTTAAGGATGTTTTATTTGTATTTGTTTTGAGCACCAGAATATTTGATGCCCGGTAATAACACCGACGCGGAATAACTTCACTTGTAGAGAAAATCGTGAGTTCGGAATAATGTCGAAATTTAAAATGCATAGAGCGGTAATAACTTCACCTATATAGCCTGAGTGAACTTATTCCGGCGTGGCGCAGGAATAACTTCACCTAGAAAATGAAGGTGAAGTTATTCTTGCACGATGTAGGAATAACTTCACTTATATGTGCCAAGTGAAATTATTCCTGCGCCACGTCGTAATAATTTCACAAATTTTTGTCCATCGACATTATTCCGTCATGATGCAGGAATAACTTCACTTATAATTTCTATGTGAAGTTATTCCTGTTTTGTGTAATTACTTTTGTGTTATTTTTTAAGGGTTTTTTATGATATTTAATTAATAAAGTTCTTCAGTAATATGTTTTGAAGTTTGTTGCGGATTTTATTCTAATTTGATGTAAGACAAGATAGTTTCTTATATCTTCGAAATTAATTTGGAATATATAGAAAGTTCACTACTAATTCGTAATTACTTTGAATATCAATTAAAACTTTAATTAATTTTTCTGGAGTTATAGGCTCTTTTGCTGAAATATCTCTATTAGATATCAATCTTGTGATATTAACACATGTTTTTGTATCTAAAAGGCAGGCTTTAGATGAGAATTTAATAGCTAAAATTAACAAAACTTTTGTCAACAGTGTCAATTGGTAACATAAGAGCGCTTCTATACAAAATTAAAATTCAAAAAGTTGCACAATTAGCTAATTTTACCTTGTTTAATTAAACTAGAAGCAAGTGAAATGATAAAATATACATTTTTTCAATCCATTAGAAGGATAGCTTGCAACAAAAGTAAAATCTAGTGTTCGAAATCTTAGAAAATAAAGTTTTTCGAACTTTTGGGGACTGGATAAATAAAGTTCATTTTTAACCAACCTTTACGATGGCATAGCATTTGTATTAAAATTTAAACGAAAAGGGTCTCAACGGCTAGTTCTCACACTCAGAAATGCTTAAAGAGATCAAAAAAGCATCCAGAGGCATTGAAGCTGTAAACTGATGTACATTCAAAAACAGGAACACAGTCAATATCAGAAAAACTTCCATTAACCTTTGTGTTCAAAAATTTCATTCAAATTTTTTGAAAAATTTCCCTTGTGACGTCACAAATTGAGATTAAAAATCTCAATTGAGATTAAGACGTGAGAAAAAAATTTCACGAGATTTGA